ATATATATATATATATATATCGGTCGCATGCTTTATGACATTTACGATTTTATATACAATACCTGAACCCTTTGCGATGTGCAGGCCACGGGGCTGGCGATGATGGAGAACTTGGAGGGCATTTCTTCGACTTGCCCTCCAGGCACCAAGACGGTGGCCCTCCGGCCGCAGCCAGGTTTGGGTTATTCAGGGTCTAGGATTTCGGGATTTCGGGGTTTTGCATGCAGGATTTCGGGGTTTAGCTGTTTAGGGTGACGGTTCAGGGGGAATGGATAACAGGGTGCTTAGGGTACGGATCGTGGGTCGTAGCGTTCCGCCGTTCTTACGTCTGGGTTTCACCATTTTCCTTGCCGCAAGGCTGTGCTTCAGTGAAGGTGAGAATGGGCTTCGGTTGGATTGTGGGATCTCCTGACGTCTTTAGCCTGGGGTTGCTTTCCACTGGCTTGGTTTCGGTTTTGTTTAGTTTTAGGGTTCAGGGCGAAGGTTGTAGGAGCTTGGGGCTCCGTGTTAGTGTAGCTTGTCTTACTGCGTAGGGATTCAGGGTTCTGCAGGTTTCGCGTTTTGCGCTGAGCGTTTAGGGGTCGGAGAATAAGTTTTCTCGGCTTCCACGGACTCCGTCGTGAGGAGTATAGGATGGGTGTGGTGAGCCCTAAACCCTAAAGCCTAAACNNAAACCCAAAACCCCTAAACCCCTTAACCCTAAGCCCCTAAACCCTAAACCCCTAAACCACGCTCAGGTCCAGTCCTACGTCAGCCGCATCGAGAAGCAGGTCCGGTCGAGTTCATCTTGAAGCCAAAACACTTACCAATATCATTCCGAAAGGGGTGATTAGTGTAGTTATGCTATAATGGAGCGCAAACTCCTGTTCAAATTATTAAGGCCCCTGCAGTGCAGGATTTGGGGTTCAAGGATTAGGAGAGAGCAGTGATCTGAGGAAGGTAGGAAGCATCAGCCGTACTTCTTGTTGGATCTAGGGCTTCTAGAGACAGTTCAGAGACTTAAGTCTTGAAGACATGGTCCTGAAGGTCAGGTTTCTGAACACACCGACGGAGTTGTAGATTGGGTTTTGCGCAGTGAACTCGAAGCCCTAACCCTTAAACCCTACACCGCGAAGCGGTCCGACAGATCAGCAGCTTCAACAGCGCAACCGACGCCTTCCAGAAAGTGGTGGACCCACTGCCAGAGAAGGTCGGCGATGTGAAGGCCGGGACGGCAAACCCGAAACCTCTGGGGTTTGTGGGTTTTGGGTTGAGTGTCGAGGGGCTCAAGGTAAGCATCTTACGCTTCCGGCCAACTTCCGGCTGTAGGAGTTTCGGGCTTAGTTCTGACAGAGCTTGGGAGCTGGAGGAGTTTGAGAAAACATCACGCAGACGCAGACTGTTGGTGTTCAGTGGGTTTGTGAGTTCACTCCTCTCAAATTCGAAAGCCCTATCCTGACAACCCTTGGCCGGCTTGGGTGCATGGGGGCTCTCTGGATTACAGATCCTAGTTCAGCTAACTACCCAGAATGGTCTTCCTAGGGAACTCAAGTGGACCGCTAGGTGGGCATCTCCGGCTAATTTGCTCGTTGTGCTCCGGGCATTTCTAAACGTAGACTTCTAGGCCGTAGTTCTTTTGTCAGCAGTGTGCAAGGACTTGAGAAAGCTGTGCTAAAGTTCGAAAACTGTGTTCAAGCCTCCATAAAACTTTTTCAACACTAACCTCAACGAAACACCCCGTTGGGCGGACCACATTTGGGCGAACCGTCTATCTATCTATCTATCTATCTATCCATCTATCCATCTATCTATCTATCTATCTATCTATCTATGTATCTATCTATTTATCTA